TATATACCCCAGTGATTCGATAGGAAGGAAATAGGAAGTCTGCAATAGTCAAAAACAACCACCTAATATTCTAATCCAATTTTCCAGCACTTGGCCCAAAGCCTTGAATGGCTTGACATCGCAAGTACACACCTAAATACTTCTTCAATGTTGAGGCTTTCTACCACAACCACCCTTACAGGCAGTGAGTTCTAGATCTACTCCCTCCGGATGAAAATTTTTTCCTCATACCCTCTCTAAACCTCCTGCACCTCACCTTATATTTATGCCCTCAGTCATTGATTGCTCCAACAAGGGGAAAAGGTCCTTCTCGTTTCCCCTATCTATACCCCTCATCAGTTTATACCTCTCAATCATGTACTCGTCAGTACCCTCTGCTCCAAGGAAAACAATCCAAGTCTATCCAGTGTAGTTTTTTTAAACTGCCACTCAGTTCAATAAATGCTGGTCCAGCCAGTGATGCCCACATTCCATGAAGTGGAAAGGAAGACAGTTTAATTAGGAGAATGTTTTGATGGGACATACAGCTTATTTTCCAAGCCCTGGCTCTTGCTGGTGTATGGTTCCAGATGACTGTGGATGACCTCACGGTTGGGTCCAATCTATCCTCAAGAGTCAACACTCGCTCATTTTCCAAGAGGTTGATAGTCATGAGGAAGAGACCTAAGTGATTATTCCTCCCAGTCCAAAGTCCACGGTCGTTAAGATTAATTGTACTGATCCTCAATGAATGCAGCACAGTGGAAAACCGCCGTGGATTATAATTGACGTTGAGAATGTTAATGTTTAAAATTGCAACAACGCATTATACAATTCAGAGGTCAGAACTAAATTTCAGCTGCAGATTGACTACTGTTAAAACCATGTGACATGCCAATTGTCAAGGAGACAAGAGAGATTTTCATTCTTTGAAGCATGCAAGCCTGATCCAAACCCTCCGCACACCAGCTCCTCGGGCTCATGTAAACAGGCAAAAGACTGGTCTAGTAACTAAAGTTTGAGCCTCTGTTCCTAAAGGGCCATAGCCAAATTTATTGCATTTCTATCAAATACCGATTGCAGCATGGACATAAGAAGTTTGAGCTTTCACTGTTAAACTATGAGAAGAATGAAGCATGGATTTTTCAGTCTTGCTAATTAAATATAGAATCCCTACAATGTGGAAGTAGGCCATTTAGCCCACTGGATCTACAGTGACCCTCAGAAAAGCATCCCACACAGACACCACCCCCTCCCATCCTACCCCTATAACCCTACATTTTCCAAGGCTAACCGACCTAGCCTGCACATCCCTGGACACTATGGGCAATTTCCCATGGCCAACCCATCTAACCTGCACATCTTTGGACTGTGGGAGGAAACCTGAGCACCCAGAGGGAATTCACACAGACATGGGGAGAATGTCTGGATGAAGTTTGCACAGTCGCCTGAGGGTGGAATCGAACCCAGGCTGTGAGCCACCGGGCCACCCATTATCATGGCTGGAGTAACTGAATCTGATTTTAGTTACAGACCTGAGTCTTAACTAAGGCCTAGGTTTCAGACTCAGCTGTCCAGCATTATGCATTCCCCAACTCCTCTTCTCCCATCACACCCAATCTCAACAATTTCGGCTGGTTCCCCGCTACTCAATGCTTCAAAGTCAAAATCCTCATCTTCACAACCTTGCACATCAATCTCTCCCAGCCCATGAACTCTGGTTCTCTAATGCCATGGGTCAGCACATTCCTCCGCTTCACCTCGTTAATTGCTGCACCCCACCAAACTTTTGTAACTTGGTTCCCTAAATCCTTCCAAACTCTGCCTCCATGGTTAAAGGACTCCTTTAAATCTCTTTCTTCAAGCATGTTTCAAACTATTTCTCCTAAACTTTCTCCACACATTTGCTGTGAAGCATCTTTGGACACTCTTCCATGTGAAGGCACTGTACAATCATTTAAAACAGAGGAGACAACAGCATACTGATAGTGGTACTACACTAATAGAACATAGAACATAGAACTACACAGCATAGGAGTGGGCCATTCGGCCCACGATGTTGTGCTGAACATGATGCCAAATGAAACTAATCCCTTCTGCCTGCCATTGGTCCATATCCCTCCTTTCCTTGCATATTCATGTGCTTATCTAAAAGTCCCTTAAATGCCCCTATTGTGCCGGCCTCCACCACCACCCCTGGCAGCACATTCCAAACTCCTACCGCTCTGTGTAAAAAAAAACCTGCCCCTCACACCTCATTTGAACTTTCCTCCTCTAACCTTAAATGCATGTCCCCTAGTATTAGACATTTCATCTCTGGGAAGAAGATTCTGACTGTCAACCTTCTCTATACATCTCATAATTTTATAGACTTCTATCAAGTCTCCCCTCAGCCTGTGCCATTCAGTTGAAAACAACCTGAGTTTTTCTAGCCTCTCCTTATAGCTCATACCCTCTAATTAAGTCTGCATCCTAGTAAACCTCTTCTGCACCATTTCCAAAGCCTCCACATCCTTCCTGTAATGTGGTAACCATAATTGAATGCAATACTCTAAATGTGGCCTAATAAAAGTCTGACAAAGCTGCAACATGATATCCTGATTCTCGTACTCAATTTCCCGACCAATAAAGGCAAGCGTGCTATATGCCTTCTTTACCACACTATATATTTTCGTAGCTACTTTCAGGGAGCTATGGACTTCAGCCCCAAGATCTTTCTGTACACACGTTTGGACTAATCCATTGGAGACATGGGTTCATGCCCCACCGCAGCATTTGGAGGATTTTCAATTTAATGAAAACATTAATCTGGAAGAAAATACTCATCTCGTTAATCATTATCATGGAAATTCTGGGCTGCAGTAAAAATGCGTTCGCTTCACTAACGTGCCTTACCAAAGGAAAGCTGTGGTCCTTACCCAGCCTGGCCCAAATGGGACTTCAAACCCACAGTAATGTTATTGACTCTAAACTGCCCTCTGAAATGGTCTACCAAGCCACTGAGTTGTACCAAGCTGTGAAAGTTGACAAAGGTGATTAGATATGGGCAATAAATGTTGGCCTTGTCAGTGACACTCACATTCCAAGAATAAATGAAGGAGAAAGACGTTGCTTTGTCCATGGTCAACTTTTACTGTTGCCTTTGTTATTTGCTCTTTCAATTATGTTCTAACCCAGTAACTTTGAACTGTCCTCAGTTGTCCCCACAATGTCATGACGAATGGGCCAAACAATTTTTCACTTCGATGTTCAAAAACTGTAACAGCGTGACGTCTTCTCATCACAGTCAGGCTACTGACTTGCTCTGTCTGACTGTCCAGTGAAAATGCCTCACAGCTACATAGAAGTTCTTTATTCCTTCATAAACATCTGCTTTAGGGGAACCTAACAAACTGAAGTGTCAGCCACACAGGTCAGGAAAGCTCGCCTGACAGTAAATATGTTGTTGGTGTCAGGGATGAAAATAAACTGTCAGTGGTGCCTTGATTTTTGGCCTAGCAACGGTAGCATATCAATGCGCTGGCAACTTTTAAAATGCCAGGAGTACAGTTTGAGAGGGATAGTAAGATGGGTTTATCCATAGAAGGCAGTGGATCTTCATGACTATTGCACAGTTTTTTCCTCCTGGTAGTCTCAGGATAAATTGATGTGATTTCCAAACTTCATCTTGGTTGGCAGGATGGACAGGAAAGAAATAAAGGGGTGATTGAAACGGATTATAACTTTTCTACAAGGCCTTAGGCAGGCAGACAACAGCACAACCATCTCGCTGGACACTTCCTGTCAGGCAGTGTCAAAAGAATCAGCGTTCAGAACAGTCAGTCAATACAGCCGGGATTAAATTTCAACGGTCAAAAGGGAAATAAATATCTCATGATTTACTGATTAGTGGGCCACTCTCATTCGTTGAGAATTACATAGAATTTACAGCATGCAAGCAAATAGTGTGGCCTATTGGATTCAGGTTGGTGTTTATGTCCCATACCAACCTCCATTGTTTCAGTTAGGAAAGATGATGACCTGCTGGTAATTTCACTAGTCTATTAATCCAGAGACCCAGGCAGTGCTCTGGGAACCCAGGTTCAAATCTCACCACAGCAGACGGTGGAATCTGAATCCAATAAAAATCTGAATTAACAGTCTAATGATGACCATAAAACCATTGACAATTGTCAGGAAAAGCTCATCTGGATCACCAAAGTCGTTTTAGGGAAGGAAATCTGCTGTACTTACCTCGTCTGGCCAACATGTGACTCCAGACCCACAGCAATGTGGTTGACTCTTAACTACCCTCTGGGCAATTTGGGATAGGCAATAAATGCTGGCCTGGCCAGCGACACCCTCATCCCGTGAATGAATAAAGAAGTTGCTCATGGGATGTGAGTATCACTGGTAAGGTCAATATTTGTTATCCATTCCCAAATGGGCTTGAGAAGGTGGTGGTGAGCTACCTCCCTGCACTGCAGCAGGCCATGGTGTGTAGCTAGACCCCTAGTTGTGTTAGGGAGGAACTTCCAAGATTCTAACTCAGTGAAAGTGAAAGAATGGCACTCTAGCTCCAAGCCAGGGTGAGGGGATCCTGGAGGGGAACTTACAGATGGCGGGTTTTCTAACACATCTGCCACACTCGTTCTTACAGGTCGTAAAGCTTGCAGATTTGGAAGATGCTGATGAAGGCAGCCACTATTTGGGGCAATTGCATTCTGGGATCTTGGTAGAAACTAGGTCTTGTTGTCAAGGTCCTTCAACTAGAAACCTGAAGCTATCGTCCAAAGATATGAATTTTCATTGGTGCCGATATCCGAATCGGGGATCAGAGCAGAAACCATTACCTGTGAATTGCAGGTGGTGCTTCCAGGTTAGAACTAACTGCAGAATAAGCCAAGAAAATATTGTCTGGGAATCAAACATGCCAAACGTTAATGTGCTAGAGATTTTGCAATGCACAGAAATTCTGGGAGTTACTGTTTATGACATCCCCTCCTTTCAGTTGCTTATTGTGTGTCATCTTCAGAACATACCATTCTGTCCTGCATTGAGCGAGAGGCAGTGAAGTGATATGGCTGCAGTTCAGATAGCCTCCTGTCTCCGGAATAGTCGTATTGCTAGAAACAAACCGAAACAAACCTTTAATAAAACTCACCACCAACTACAGCTGATTCATAGAGTCTGATTTCCTCGACAATGCCTACCTAACAAGATGAATGTGAATTCTGTTTGTAAATAATCTGTAAAGAGGCTTGGAACATTTTTTTTCACTCAGTGAAGTGTTGCTAACTGTGCATAAGATGTAAAGAGAGTCCAACACGACAATGGAACGGAATGAATTTGCGAATTTTTATGGTTTCCTTAATCCTCTTTCTCGTTCCAGTATGGAGGTGATGCTGTTACATCCTGCAAATGCACCACTTGCCAGAGGCAATTTTTTTTCTGAAGAAGCGTCTAGGCCCAAAATGTCAGCCTTCCCACTCCTATGATGCTGCTTGGCCTGCTGTGCTCATCCAGCTCTACACCTTGTTATCTCACACTTACCAGAGGCAGACAGCTGGGTCTATCGCCCCCTGAGGGTTAAACATAAACACAGCGAGCCGGAGCCGGAGTGAGCTTGCCCCTGGCGTTTCTATTGCTGCGGTCGTGTAGGGTCCCCACCCGCCCCTGGGTTAAAGGACAATGATCTGTGAAACTTGAAAGGGTTCAGAAAAGATTTAAGGATGTTGCTGGGGTTGGAGGGTTTGAGCTATAGGGGTAGCCTGAATAGGCTGGGGCTATTTTCTCTGGTGCGTCGGAGGCTGAGGAGTGGCCTTATAGAGGCTTATAAAATCACGAGGGGCATGGATAGGGTAAACAGACAAAGTATTTTCCCTGGGGGGTGGGGGAGCCCAAAACTAGAGGGCATAGGTTTAAGGTGAGAGGGGAAAGATTTAAAAGGGACATAAGGGGCAACTTTTTCACGCAGAGGGTATGCATGTGTATGGAATGAGCTGCCAGAGGAAGTGGTGGAGGTTTGTACAGTTACAATATTTAAAAGGCATCTGGATGGGTATATGAATAGGAAGGGTTATGAGGGATATGGGCCAAATGCTGGCAAATATGACTAAATTTGTCTAGGATATCTGGTCAGCATGGACGAGTTGGACTGAAGGGTCTGTTTCTGTGCTATACATCTCTATGACTCCATAACTCTATTTCTGGGCATCGCACCTTAGGAACGATAATCTGACCATAAGACATAGGAACAGAAGTGGGCCATTCAGCCCATCGAGTTTGCTCTGCTATTCAATGAGGTCATGGCTGAGCTAATAATCCTCAACTTTACTTTACTTTAGAAGGAGTGTCTTATAGATTTAGCACAATTATAACAAATTACACCCTGGGATTAAAGAAAAAATTGACCGAAGTTCAAAATATTAAGGGAAACAGAGTAGATAGACAGACATTATTTCATCGGAGCAAATTACCGCAAATGCTGGAATCTGTACCGAAAACAAAAAATGCTGGAAATCCCATCAGGTCAGGCAGCATCTATGGAGAGACAGGGAGGTAGCATTTCAAGTGTAGACGACTCTCCATCATAGCTGACATGTCTCCCATTTCTTCCCTTTCTTTTGGCTGTACTTGTTGCATTCTTTATCATTATGTCCTCCCCTCACCCCCCACCATCTCCCACAAACCACCCTCCACCCGCCCCCCCCCCCCCCCCCCCAGTGGGACTATCTGTTCTTTCCTGTTTGGCAGTTGGACATACCATTGTTCTGCCATTCTCATATTCCAATCACTTCGGCTGTTGATGGTGTAGATTTTCTGCCCAGCATTCCACCACGCTTCCCCCCCCGCAACTACTGCATGAACGCTGCCCCCTCCACGTTTCACGTCAGCCCTGATGGAGAGTCATCTAGACTCGAGCTGTCAGCTTGTCTCTCTCTCCACGGGAGCTGCCTGACCCGTTGTGATTTCCTGCATTTTTTTGTTTCAAGACACTATTTCCACTGATTGGTGAATCTAGCACTAAGAGGCAAAGTCTAAAAACTGGAGCCAGAAATTTCAGGAGAGCAATTAGAAATATTGCTACACAGAAAATGAAAGAGAAATTTAGAATTCTCTTCCGAAAATGGCAATTAATGCCAGATCAATAGCTGGGTTTAAAATGGAGATTGATACATTTCTGTTATCCCCAGTGTGTAACGGGATATGGGGTAAAGGTGAGTGTATGGAGGTAGGTCACAGGTAAACCATGATCTCACTGAGTGACACAAGGACCTAAATAGCCTCCTCCTCATCTTCCATTCCTACCATAATACCAAGATGTTTAGAAAGACGTAAAGAAACAAACACGTTTCTTTCTAGTTGTTGAACTGTCCCATTGTATTGTTCCCAATGCATCCCATTACCTTTACATTTTGTCCCTCTCCAGAGCTCCATTACGAGCAACTCCATTGTATGAAGTTCAATCTCTGCCTCAGTCTCCTTCCCTGGGAACTTGTTATGCAAACTTTTTATGAAAAGCACCTCATATCTTTATTTTCTCTAACAAGGGACTATATAAATAGAAAATGTTGGCAATATTCCACTTAATTTTCATTTCTATAGCTGACTTCTTAATCTTTAACTTGCATTCACCGTTATTTGAACCCTCTGTCACAATAAACAACTGCCTGGATCAAAACTGTTTTCTTATTAATCTTAAAAAAACTAAACTGAAACTCCCACATATATTGAACTCTGAACCCCCAGGGCCCTTGCAACTTAAGAGATTTTCACTGCGCTTCCCTGGGCCACACACATGGTCAGAATGTTCCCTTTTGCTGAGGGTGAGATTTTCTCAAGATAACTAACATGCAACCCCTCCATAACTGAGAAAACGGTGGCTCAGTGGTTAGCACTGCTGCCTCACAGCGCCAGGAACCCGGGTTCGATTCCACCCTCGGGTGACTGTCTGTGTGGAGTTTGCACATTCTCCCTGTGTCTGCATGGGTTTCCTCCAGGTGCTCTGGTTTCCTCCCACAGTCCAAAGATGTGCAGGTTAGGTGGATTGGCCATGTTAAATTGCCCTTAGTGTTCAGGGATGTGTAGATTAGGTGGGGTGTAGGGGGATGGGTCTGGGCAGGATGCTCTGAGGGCCGGTGTGGACTCGTTGGGCCGAAGGGCCTGTTTCCACACTGTAGGGATTCTATAAAAACAAACCTGTCGTATCACCCATTAAGAACTGACAGGTCAGCAGGTGTGAGGCTCTCAGCAAAACACAGGCCTTGACACTGGGGTGCCAAAAATTACCAGCCACAGCGCAGCAGCTTCTGGGTCCTAAATCCTACCCATCCACACTAACTCCTCGGCACAGTGCTTAGCACTGCAGCCACACAGCACCAGTCATCTAGGGACATTTAATCCAAATTAGGCCCTGAAGACATTTCAATTCTGAATCAGCTTGAAATGAAATATTGCAAAACGATATCAACTGTAACCTTGTTGAGAGCACTCTTGCTCGAATTAGGAGTTTGTCAGCTCGAGTCCTACTCAAGAGAAATGAGGCACATAAACTGGGTTGAAGCAGTGCTGAGGGAGTGTGACGCTGTCAGTGGTGCCACCTTTCATAACAAGGTTCTCCCTACCCTCTCAGGTGGATATAATAGATCACGTTTTGAAGAGCAACAACAGCATTTTCCCAATATCTTAACTAACACTTCTCATTTAAACAGGATCAATAAAGCGGATTATCCGGTTACTATTGGGATCATGCTGTGTGCAAATTGCCTGTCGTGTTTGTATAGCAGTGACTTCAAAAGAAATGAACTGGCAGTAACGACTGGGGCTGTGAAAGGTTGTCACACGAATGAATATCTTTCTAAAATCCTCCTGCACTCTCAAATTACAGGATGTATAAATATTTCATAGAATCCCTACAATATGGAAACAAGCCACTCAGCCCATTGAGTCTAAAATGACACTCCAAAGAGCACCTCACCCAGACCCAACCTCCTACCCTATAACCATGCATTTCCCATGGTTAATCCACCCAGCCTGCACACCTTTGGGCTGTGGGAAGAAACCCACACAGACACAGGGAGAATGTGAAAACTCCACACAGACAGTCACCCGAAGCTGGAATTGAACCCAAGTCTCCAGCGCTGTGAGGCAGCAGCGCTGACCACTGGGCCACCGTGCCACCCTTTGAGCAAGAAAAAAACTTCTGCCGGAAGCAACATTGAAATTACAGCCCAAACATGGTACATTTAACCCAATTTGTCTTTGCTGTTCAAAGGCAATAAGGGATGAGTAACAACAGTGGTTAGCACCGCTGCCTCACAGTGCCAGGGACCCGGGTTCAATTCCAGTCTCGGGCGACTGTCTGTGTGGAGTTTGCACATTCTCCCTGTGTCTGCATGGGTTTCCTCCGGGTGCTCCGGTTTCCTCCCGCAGTCCAAAGATGTGCAGGTTAGGTGGATTGGCCATGCTAAGTTGCCTGTAATGTTCAGGGAGGTGTAGATTAGGTGTGTTATATGGGGATGGGTCTGGGTGGGATGCTCTGAGGTTCGTTATGGACTTGTTGGGCCAAAGGGCCTGTTTCCACACTGTAGGGATTCTATGATTCTATGGTTCAACTCAAGGTGTACACACAGCACTATATAATTATGTAACTAAAACTGCACAAGGCTCCAGTCAGACCACTGCTGGGATAGTCTAAACAGTTTTGGGCTCCTGATCCAAGAAAAGGCATACTGGTATGAGAAGCAGTTCACGTGGTTGATCCTGGATCTGGAGGGACTGCTTTACGATGAGGGGTTGTGTAGGTTTAGCCTATCCTCAACAATGCTGGTCTCCCATGAATTAATGACAGGAATGTTGATCAGACAGTTCACAGTGTGGACCGTGAGGTGAGTTACCTTTGCACTGCGAGACCGGCGCAGCGTGTAGGCTGGGGGGCCAAACATCTCGTCCCTTCGGCGTGGCAACCTATCAAACCGGGCGCTCGGAGACCTCACCGGAGAGTAGACACGGTTCACCACGAGGGGAGCCTGGGACGGTGAGCGAGGCACGGAGCGGGAACGGGGCTGCAGGGACATCCTCCGCATTGTGCCGGTGATGCTGTCGACCTCGTGGCTGTACCCGGGCTGTGCCCCATGCCACACGGGCGACCCCTGCCCGCTGTACGCCCGGCGGTCCTGCCATTCCCTCGGCAGAAATGCCGACTGCCGCTCGTCGATGGACCATCGCGCTGTCATTCTGTCATAAGCTGGCACAGAACAAATACTGTCCGGGCGTGTACCAGGCTGTAGAAACTGCGGGTAGTCATCTTGGTAATAGGGCGATAACAGTCTATAGTACTCTGGCACATCTCTGGTCGGTGTGTGATATACCTGAGAGCTGAAGAAGAGAGATATCGTCAGGGCCACGAATGACCAACTCAGAAACAAGATCAGAAATTGCTGGAGAAACTCAGCGGGTCTGGCAGCACCTGTGGAGAGAAAGCAGAGTTAACATTTCAAGTCCAGCGACCCTTGTTCCGAACCCGGACCAATGTAGATATTCCATGTAGTTATCATGGCCAAGGCAGGCACGCTTTTTCATTTCACTGCCCACGCCATCACTCCCCCCACCCATTGACTGTTTTCTGCCGGCTGGGTTTGAAAGCCTATTCGACCAGGAAATGATCAAATTTGCAGCATCGGGGCAGCACGGTGGCTCAGTGGTTAGTGCTGCTGCCTCACAGTGACAGGGACACGGGTTCGATACCAGTCTCGAGAGACTGTCCGCACGGAGTTAGCAGTTCTCCCCGTGTCTGCATGGGTTTCTGCCGGGTGCTCCAGTTTCCTCCCCCAGTCCAAAGTTTGCAGGTTGGGTGGACTGGCCATGCTAAGTTATCCCACAGTGTGCAGGTTGGATGGGTTAGCCATGGTAAACGTAGGGTGATGGGGTAGGGGTCTGGGTCTGGGTGGAAAACTCTTTAGGGGGTCAATGCAGACTCAATGGGCTGAATGGATTCTTTCCACAATGTAGGGGTTCTAATTATGCCTTCAATTAAGTACCCACACAGACACACGCACACAACTTTGGATAACAATCAGAAATGGTAGCACGAGACAACTTTCTCTGCCCTATCCCACTGAGCCCTATGACAGTGTCTGTAACATCCAACCACCATTATCCAATCTCCACAACTGTGATCAGCTAAATATTGAGCGAGATGGTTTTGAGCAACGGACTTATCTCTTCTGACCTAGTATTTCAAGAATTTGGCCTCTTTCCAAGGTGCATTTATTTATTATCACCCAGGGAACATGACCAGACACTGTCACTAAAACAACATTGGTAACCAGACTTATTGGAAATTCTAGTGCATAAAATAATTTACAAGACCAATTTAAATCAGTCTCCGAGCACTTTGCTGCACACAGAGGATCTTTAAATAGCATTCCCAACGTGAGAAGGCAATAAATGGCGAATGTAAGTCTGCTTCAAATTTCAAAATAGAGAGGTTTTGCTAAGCATATGCAGAATGTTGATGAGTCCACATTGGAATATCATGCTTTGTTCTGGTCTCTATACTATAAAGAAGATTTAGAGGTACTGGAGAAGGTGCAAACAAAATTTATGAGAATGAAGGCCTAACTGAAAGGTTCTAGCCATCAAGAAATAATGAACAGTTTGGGATTTCATTCTCTAGAAGAAGTTGGGAATCAATGCATAGTGCCTTATTCAAACAAAGAGAAGCTTACAGGACACCAATTCTCTGATGCATTTCCCATGGCAATGACTTGACCAATCACAGTTGAGCTGCCTGGTTTGAAGTTAAACAGAAGCTTGGCATTTAAACTGTTCCCCAATACATTCTCCATGACAGCTAATCAGCACTCTTTCCTCATGCAGTATAAATTGTTGTTCTATTCGATATTGGGTATTCTTGCAATTCTGTCCTAAACAGTGCAAGATGAAAGGCTTTGACAACGTCATTATTTTTTAGCAATGGTAGTAGAGGCCTTTAAATTTATAAAAGATTTTATCAAGTGGATTAAAGGAGGTGTTTCTACGAGTGGATTAGTCCAAAAACTAAGGGACATGAATATAAGAAAGTCACTAATGATTGGAATCAAGAATTCAGGAAAAATTTCTTTATCTAGAGAATGGATGCAACTGTAACTTGCCACCGTGCTGGCTAAAGTAACTAAATTGCTAGGAAATTCAGCAGGTCTGGCAGCATCTGTGCAGAGAAGTAGAGATAACAAGGTGTGGAGCTGGATGAACACAGCAGACCAGGCAGCATCAGAGGAGCAGGAAAGTTGACGTTTCGGGTCAGGGCCGTTCTTCAGAAATGGGGAGGGGGAAGGGAGCTCAGAAATAGATATAGAGGGGAGGGGTGGGGCTAGGGAAGGTAGGTGGGATGGTGATAGATGAGTGCAGGTAGGGAGTGGTGGGGATTGATCAGTGAGGTGAGAGGGGCGGATAGGTGGGAGAGAAGATGGACAGGTTGTGTCAGGTCAAGGAGGCGGGGATGAGATGGAGGGTTGGACATCTGCAATTCTTGTTATCTGCCTGTGGAAAGAAAGCAGAGTTAATAGATTGGAATGAAGTCAGCCAGGTGAACGTTATAGAATATGAGTTCCCTAACTGGGATTGTTAACACAGTCCAATCAGTGGGCCCTGGCTGACAGATAGAAACAGAAATGTTAGAGGCTCTGTTCACTCTGAGAGCTGGCTCTGAGGAAGCTTAATCAATGACAGGGACTCTCCATGCATAAATAAAGGGATACTGGACTCTGTGGAGTTACTTCACGGAGTTAATGTTTCGAGTCCAGTGAACATGTAAGGAGAAGTTCTGATACAGAAAGGAATGAAATGCGAAACTAATTGAATTAAATGGTAGAGTGGGAGGAAAGTCACATGGACAGTGGCATGGGTCACAGGGTCGAATAGCCCATCTCTGTAAAACATTACACAATTCTATGTAACGTGTGTCTGCTTCCATTTTAAGATAATACCAGATTCTATTCCCACCACTGTAGGTCTGGCAAGGCACTCTATGTCCTATCAACATCTAAGCTCCAAGCTCTGGAATTCCCTGTCTAAACATTTCTGACATTTTCCTTCACTGGCTGCCTTCAACTCACTTCATAAAATCTAACTATTTAAGGAGATAGAAGGGTCCAGACCTGAAGCGTCAGCTTTCCTGCTCCTCTGATTCTGCCTGGCCTGCTGTGATCATCCAGCTCTACACCTTGTTATCTCTAACTATTTAAGGACTAGGTTAGCTCAGTTGGCTGAACTGCTAGTTTGTGACACAGAGTAACGCCATGGGTTTGATTCCCACATTGGCTGAGGTCACCATGGTACTCCAACCTTTTCTCAACTTTGTCCCTTGCCCAAGGTATGGTGGCCCTCAGGTTAAACCACCACCTGTCATCTATCACTGATAAAACCTATGGACCTCTGGAACTATGGAGACATTACTTTAGTCTTCCTCGCAACTTTTCCCTGGTGATGGTGACTGGTTTAAGTTCACTTCTCCCTATTACCTCTAGGTTTCCCATGTCAATTGCAAGACATCTGCCGTATTGACAGGCACCAATTACTTGTTTAAAGATTCCACCATTCCTCTGTTTTCTATTTTCAATTCCCCAGACTGTCTCCCTAGACACCTTTGTTACTCTTTTCCTATTAAAATACTGTAGGAACTCTTACTGTCTGTTGGTATATTATTAACTAGCTTTCTTTCATACTCTGCAATCCATATCTTAATTGTCTATTTAGTCATTCTTTGCTGGTTCTCAGTCAGTCCAATGCTCTACCCTACTACAGATCTTTGCTGATTTGTAGTGTGCCTTTCTACTTAATACTACCCTTTCCTTCCTTACTTAGCCAGTGATCCTTCTCAAACAGTCATTTTATCTCACGGAGTTCAATCTTCGCTGAGAATTAATTTATCTCTTAAAAATCTGTCACTGGTAACTCTCCTCTCCTTACTTTTAACCTAGTTTCCCAATTCACCTCTGCCTTCATTCCCTCAGATTTGCCTTTATTTGGGTTTACAACACTCATCATGATCCACACTTCTTTTCAAACTTAATATAAAATTCGACAGTGATCTGATCACAGTCACCCAGAGGATGTTTTAGCGTGAGGTTATATCTTGTTGCAATACATATTACCAACTCTAGATTTGCTGATTCCTGGTAGACTCTAGAATATGCTTTAAGAAACTGTCTTGAAAACAATATGAACACATTTGCCAACATGATTCTCTCCATCTACATAAAAAGTTAAAGTCACCCATGCTTATTCTGGTCCCTTTCTTAATGCCCCATCTATTTCTCCCTACGTGCTCTGTCTTACAGTATGACTACTGTTAGGGGGCCTATAAACTTCTGCTACAAGTGACCTCTTTATCAGTTGGTATGTCTATTCTAACGAACTCAAATTTGGGATTGGCAATGAATGGCCTTGCTAGTGACGTCCACATTCTGTGAATGAACGAGATTTAAGGCAGACTTTTAGACGCAACCCTCTCACCTCCTCAGTTCGTCCTGTGGGAGTGCGGATCTGCGCATGTTAACCCACTGCTGCAATTGAGTCAATGAGGATTGACGTTGTGCCATTTTCTCAGTGTTAGTACGTGGGACAAAGCCCCGTCGATGCACTGTATTGATCCCGTCCTGTTGTAAATACTCTTCACCAGGCCTACCAGGGGAAGCATTTTGCCAGCTGTGCCCATTAGGTTGCACAGGCTTCTCGTGCCCCAGCTGAGTTCTCAGCTCTGGACCAGGACTGTTGGCGTCAAAGGGCACATCCTGTATAGTCACACCGTTAACCTTGGCTGTTGGCTCGTTGCTCGAGTCCTTCTGCTCACTCTTCCTGTTGTATCTTTCAGACCCATCCATTTCACTTCGAACCTTTTCTGAGTTGGGTTTAATCAGCTGTTTATGATTGCTTGTGTGGTTCAATTCTGAAGGAGGTTTTATTTCATACTTCATTCCAGAGCTGTCAAGAGAGCAGTAAAATAGAAAAATTAGTGGCTAAATTGAGGTGAATGTGTTTTGTAACTACAGCCTTTCACCTCCACACATTAGGATCACAGGGAAATGAGACACACTCAATTCAGTTGCTCCAAATCCTGTTGTAGGTATGTAAGGTATGATTTGTCTGGTTAGCACACAAAATAGTATTTTTCACTGTATTCTGGTACATGTGACAATAACAATAAATCAAATCAAATCAATTCAAGTAGGAGCGTCCTTTTGACACACAGATCTTGTAGAAATTATCTACTGAAGATTATGTCTCCATTTAATTTGGGGAAACATTCAGCAAATTTCCAACCTGATTTCCCTGAAGAGAGTCAAACACATCTGCCTGTAGTCACAGTTGTGCAATTCTTTTGTGAGTGGGTTTGATGTTGTAGCGGTTATGTTGCTACAACTCTGATACCTGGGCAAAAAAAAAACCAATAACAAGCTAGAAATTTTGGGAATTCAGTTCTAATTAGCAATTAAAAAAAAAAGAAAATCAAGAGCTGGCACCAAGAGTAACCAGAAACCTGTCAGACTGAACTAAAAAAATGGAAATGGTTCACTCAAATCTTTCAGGGGAAGAAACCTGCCACCCTTCCCTGGTGTATAACTATCGGTGACTTCAGTTCCACACCAATTTGATTGACCAAGTTCAGCAGGTAATAGGGAAGGCAAATGGAATTTTGGCCTTTATTTCAAAAGAAGTGGAGTATAAAAGCAGGGAGAAGAAAACTACTGCAGATGCTGGAATCTGTATTGAAAACAAAAATGCTGGAGATCACAATGGGTCTGGCAGCATCCATGGAGAGAGAGCAAGCTAATGTTTCGAGTCTAGATGACTCTTCATCACAGCAGACGTGAAGTGTGGAGGGGTCAGCATTTATGCCATAGTGAGGTTCGGGGGGTGGGGGGAGAGGAGTGCTGGGGAAGAAAGGGTATTGATAGAGTAGATTAAATGATCGGAATATGGGAATGGCAGAACAATGGTGTGTCTAACTGCCAGACTGGAAAGAACACTGGAGTTGGGGGGTGGTGGGGAGACGAGACAGGACATGATGACACAGAGCGTAACATGTAAAGCTAAAAGAAAAGGAAGGAATGGGAGTGGGTTCACAATCTGTTTTCAGCATAAAAATAGGGAGGTTTTGCTAAAAACGTACAAGGCAATAGTGAGACCACAGCTGGAGTATTGTGAACAGTTTTGGGTCCCTTATCTAAGGAAAGATATACTGACATTGGAGGCAATCCAAAACGGTTCTCTAGGCTGATATCACGTTATGGAGGGACTGTCTTATCAGGAGAGGTTGAGTAGATTAGGACTGTACACATTGGAATTTAGAAGAATGACAGGCAACCCTTTTGAAACACACAAGATTCTTAAGGAACTTGGCAGTGTCGAGGCAGAAAGGTTGATTGTCCTTGTGGGAGACTTTAGGACCACAGGGCATAATCTCAAAATGAGGGGTCACATATTCAAGACAGAGATGAGGAGGAACATATAGAGTCATTGAGTAACACAGCATGGAAACAGGTCCTTCGGCCCAAAATGGCCCATGCTCATTATGGTGCCCACTTAGCTAGTTCCAACTGCCTGCATCTGGTCCATATCCCTCTAAACCCTTCCTATCCATGTACCTATCCAAATGATTTTTAAATGTTGCTGTTGTACCTGCCTCAACTATTTTCTCTGGTGGCCCATTCCATATACTTAGTCTCTCAGAGAGAATCCATGGAATTCTTTACTGCGGAGGGCTGTTGAGACTGGGTCATCGGGTATATTCAAGGCAGAGCAGACAGAGTTTCAATAGTAAAGGAACCAAAGGTTATCAGAAAAGGCAGGAAAGAGGATGTGAGGATTATCAGATCAGCACGACCTCATTGAACTGTGGAGCAGATCCAAAGAGCTGAATGGCCTACCTCTGCTTATTGCCTTATGGTCTAATGGACTCTTCAGGATTCAGGCCTATAAACCCACTCAGTCATACAGGAGATGGAGGTTAATAAATGCCAGCCATGCCCACGTGCCAAGAATGAATTTTAAGAAGTACTTCAGGTGAGATCAGGGCCATTAGAAGAGGAGACAGAATGAAGGAATGGTATGGCTCGATGTATTCTGAACATGACTCATGTATGCAAACATCGGGGAGACGGTAGCAGAGTGGTAACATCACTGGGCTGGTAATCCAGAGCCCCAGGTTAAAACCCTAGAAAACCTGGAATTCAAACTTAATTAATTAATCAGCAATTGAAAGCTAGGCTCAGCCAATTGACTATCATAAAGTCAATTGATGTATGTCTGGGCTTGGAGTGGTTTGTAATGTTACCAGAAGATTGCAGGTTCCAGTCATGCTACAGTTGCTTTTGGATGCCTGTGGTGCAGTGGTAGCATTCACAACTCTGAGTTAGGAGGCCTGAATTCAAGATCCACCTACTCTCAAAGAATGTTGCAACACATCTGCACCCAGGGCATTGAGGATAAGGATAGACAAGTTATGCTGCAGCTTTATAGAACTTTAATTAGGCCACACTTGGAATATTGCTTATAGTTCTGGTCACTACACTACCAGAAGGATGTGGATGCTTTGGAGAGGGTAGGGAAAAGGTTTGCCAGGATATTCCCTGGTATGGGAGATTTTGGCTATGAAGAAAAGTTGGATGGACCAAGTTTGTTTTCACTGGAGTGCAGGAAGTTGAGGAGCGACCTAATGGAAGTTTATAAGATTGTGAATGGTATAGATAGAGTGGAAAGTATGAGGCTTTTTCCCAGGGTGGAGGGGTCAATTACTAGGGGACACAGGTTCAAGGTGCGAGGGGGGCAAGTTTAAAAGAGATTTGCATGGCAAGTTTTTTTTTACTCAAAGGGTGGTGAGTGTCTGGAACGCGTTGCCAGAGGAGGTGGTGGAAGCAGACATAATAGCAGCGTTCAAGAAACACCTGGACGAACACATGAACAGGAAGGGAATAGAGGGATACAGATCTGTAAATGAATTCAGTTTTAGTATGGAAGGGCAAAATGCATTGGTGCAGGCTTGAGGGGGTGGGCGGGAGGGGGCGCGAAGGGCTTGTTCCTGTGCTGTTTTGCTCTTTGTTCTTTGATTTAAAAAAAAAACACTATACATTCAGCTGAGCTGTATATCGTGCAGTTCACAAAAGACAAGAGTACTAAACATACTCAACAGGCTCAGAACTTACAAAACTTAGTACATATGCCTAATTTTAGGGAGTGCCTGTGGTGTATTGGTAGTGTCCCTAGCTCTGATCCAGAAGACCCAGGTTCAAGTGCCAGTTGCTCCAGAGGTGCGTCAAAACATCTCTGAACAGGTGGACCATAAAATACCTAAAAACCCAATTCATTCACTAATCTCCACTAGGGAAAGAAATCAGCCAATCTGGCTTACACATGACTCCAGACCGAAAGCAATGAGGTGAACTCTTGACCATCCTCTGAAATGGCTGAACAAGCCATTCAGCTTAAGGGCGATTAGAATGGTCAACAAATACTGGCCTTCCCACATCCACAAAAGAATAAATTCTATAAAACTAACACAACTGCCAACGTTGTTCATTTTTGACATGAACAAAAAGCCTATTCAGAATAGCGCACGATCACAATGTTTGTGAATCTTCCACTGCACCTGTTCAAGGGCATGGTCTGTATGCTCGCTGCTTCATTCATTGCATTGATCCAATCCTCCATCTCAGTCTTATTCTCCGCACTCAAGTAGTATGTCCGGATACCTGCGTGTTCAGCCTGATAATTAATGGAGCGGTCATTATTGAGAAAAACCTCTGGCTGTCTGCTTACAATCAGCTGTGGGAGAGATAGGGGATGTGATCATCATTAGTGAGGCAGACTTAGTCAATGCTTTGAAAAAGAAGATTAAAAACTGGCTGACAACCACAACTGGAAGGCAACAACTCAATTTGTTCTGCACACTTGGGTCAGGTTTCCTCCCAACTGGAGGCTGGCATCGGTGTGGAGCAGTTCCCTTCTCTGGTCTACAATGAGTCTGCAACCAGCGTTGCCAATGAGGCTTCTTGAGGTGACCACACATGGCAGGAGATCACCAGCCACCCGGCATCACTTGGACCAACCCCAGCATCTCTGCCGCTGTTCTGTATGACGGCAAGCCTACCTCAGAATGCATGGACCCACCTGAGTGGGCTCACTGCCAGCATTAGGCTGCCCCTCTGTCCCCTCAACATCTCAAACAGGTTCCATCTTTAGCCACCACTTTCACGTCAGCAGACTCCATGTGTTACAGAGGAGGAGCAGCCCTTCACAAGTGATGTCCCAGACAGGATAATCATGAAACCTGCTCACGAGTGATTCTCCAGTTGTGTTTTTCTTTCCAGTAACTGCCACATTTATGTGACATTTAAGCCCAAATTGCACACCCTTTTCATGTCCGTTCACCAGTCCGTTGGGTCAGTGCTCAGTGGGGAATGTGCATCTGTCTTGTATCAGCCAGCCTCCCATCTCCCTCCTGTTGGGAAGGGATTGCAACACCCTTCCACAATGCTGTTAATGTGAACACTTCTTTACACTGGAATTTGCTCTCTAGCTATCATTCACCTCCTGATGTCAGCATCTCGGGTTGGTATCTAATATCTCCAGCACTGGGAGTTCACCAGTGCCTGAAATATCCACATGGCAGCCCAGACAGTGACCTGATTTTCAACCATGGGAGGCACACATGGTCAAACCCAACACTGCCTGTACATATGGTCCAAGCGATAATGCCCCCTGCAAGAGTCGCTGGATAATGACCAGGAGCAGGATCCAAAATGCTTTGCACATCCCCTGTTTTCTGCAGAGACTGAGTATCTCAGCGTTGGGTTTCACCTTAAGCACATACCCCACTGAGTCATCTGAACCAGGGAACAGTCATGTTATAAAATCAAAATCAACTTAGAATTATGGAATTATTATGTTTGCAAAAATGGTGTTTTTATTAAAATGTGGCAACTTAAGGAAGAAATAGAAGCAATGGGTTAAGCAGTATGGAAGTTCACATTTCTTGTCACATGAACCACATGTCCAGCTTCGACTGGAGTCAAAGGTTAATGAAGTGTCTCTAAAAATGCATCTCTACCACTGGGCAGCTTTAGACATTGGTAGCCTTTGTAAGCCTGGGTGCGGCTGGTAAGTTGACTTGACATTGACTATTGGTCAATGAGTAAGTTATCAGCAAAGTTTGGATAAGGTGTCAGAATTTACAGAGTTTAGAAACTCCCTGAGCTGCCATGGCACCACTTGGAATATTCACAACTTAAAGGGTCAAAGGGAGCCTTTAGCCACAAATGCTAGGCAGTGTGGCCGGAACATCAGTGTTCTGGAGTGTACAACAGTCTGTATCCTTTGGAGCACAGCAGGAGGGGAGAACCAGTATTGGGTATCTCCAGTGTAAGCAGTTCTCAAAGTCTGGCTGAAATGGGCAATGGGAACCTGGGCAGAGATGGTCTATTTGACCATGGGGAGCAACAACCCCAGCCTTGCCTTTATCTGAATCCCAAGCAAGAACAGGGTAGCCTACATCCCCAATAGATATGCAGCATGTTGGGATGCCAAACAGACTTCCACGTTCTGAAGAAGGGTCACTAGACCCCAACGTTAACTCTGATTTCTTTCCAAAAATGCTGCCAGACCTGCTGGGTTTCTCCAGCAATTTCTGTCTTTGGTTTTTCCTTCCAATGTTGGAAAGGGACAGGAGAGACAGAGTTTTAAAAGTCATGACAGCCTGCATTGGGTAGAATCTCTTGAAGTTGAGACTTTGCAGAGATCGTGATTTTTGAATCTCGTGTCCTGAGCTGTCAGATGGGATACAAACTGTTTTACTTGCCATTGCACTGATGGTTTCTGCAGATGGGATTTGTAATTCATTTGATTTATTGCAGATATTGGTTTGTTACCACCTCGGTTAATTAGAAGTACTGGAAATTATACCTAGCTGAGATCCTGCAGAAATTCAAGACACGTACAATGCAGCCACTTCTTGTACAGGGGAGTCCTCAGCCATGAGTGGAAAAGATAAAACGTCAGATCAACCAGCAGAGTTCAACATAGAGAAACAGCACACTCACCATAACTAGAACAACCATTTGGTATATTCCTCGTTTTTAAGACTGACAGTGCAAAAGTTGCATCTCTATTTTGAGGTAGAACTTTTTTTTTATTGGTTTTTATAACAAAAAAACGTGTTGAAAGCATTATGATCATGCTAGGATGCCTGATCAAGAATTGCAGACCAATGCTTCAGAGACAAAAGTTCAAATCCCACCAGAGTAGCTGTTGGAAATTAAATTGAAAAAAATGATAATGAAACAACTAGATTCTGATTAACAGCCCATCTGGTGTATTAATATCCTTCAGAGAAGAAAATCTGCCACTCTCTACAATGCCCTTCAGGCTCAGCCAAATTTCTTGTGTGCCATCAAATGCTCAGGTGAGAGAAAGGCACTGCTACTGGAAGGTACTAATGGATTATCAAAGCATATGGGAGGCAACGGCCTACTGGTATTATCACTGGACTGTTAATCCAGAGAATCAGGTCATATTCTGGGGACCCAGGTTCAAATCCCCACCATGGCAGATGGTGGTATCTGAATCCAATAAAAATCTGGAATGAAGACCACAAATCCACTGTCAATTGCCAGGAAAAACCCATCTGGCTCACTAATGCCATCTACAGAAGGAAACTACCATCCTTACCTAGTCCTGATCCACAGCAATGCAGTTGATGGGCAATAAATGCTGACCTAGTCAGTGATGCCCCTATTCATGAATGAATTAAAATAAGACCTTGCCTGTTTTGTGCATACATGTGACTCCAGGCCAATAGCAATGCAGCTGACACTTAACTGCCTTCTGAAATGGCACTCAGCTCATCACCTTCTCCAGGCAATCTGTGCTTGCCATCTCTGTGACCTCATGACCCGAGGACGAATAATTAAAAGATCATAACATTCCCAGTGGGAGAACAGGCTGAAATGTTAATCCCAGGCCTTCATTACTGTTCTGGGAATTGGGGATTGGGTTTGTCAATGCTGATTCGGTCACGAATGAAATTTCCATCTCATGATATCCCACCTCCAATAAATGGCCCCTTCAATAGCCATGAAACAAAAAAAGTGAGAAAGCTGCCCAATTGTTTTAATTGTCTTATGGGTTTTTCCCCTGGGTGCTGCATAGCGTAGAATGCTTGAGATTTAATCTCTGATTTCAAAAGCTCCAGGATGAGGCTGGAAGGTTGGTGACCCCCTACAGGGGATGAGCTGGGATCTTTGTGTTATAGATGCTGCACCAGGAGTCAGCACTAGCCTATGTTTTAAGGCTTGCGAAGTTGACTTTGTCAAGCTGATGTTAAAGAAACTGAAAGTAAACTGCTAACAAAAAAAAATGGTCTTAATCTGCTTTAGCTGTATCAACATTTTCTGTTCAATTGGTGGAAGCTGAATTGGTTCGCCAGTTACTATTGTCAGTTACTGGGAGCTCGAAAGCACAGTACTGTCTGTGCCAGCAATTATTCATTTTAAGTGAAGACTAATGTCCAACCATACGACTGACCCCTTAAAGGATGGACTATGCTTTGAAAATCAAATGGAACCTTTCCATAGCATTTCTCCCACCTGAGTGTTTGATGACACACAAGTAACAAGGCTGAACCCGAAAGGTTTTGTAGAAAGTTTCTTCCCCTTCTACTCACACCCAACAGTTATAGAGTCATAGAGTCATGCACCATGGAAACAGACCCTTTGGTCCAACTTGTCCATGCTGACCAGATATGCGAAATTAATCCAGTCCCATTTGCCAGCATTTGGTCCATAACCCTCTAAACTCTTCCTTTTCATACACCCCTTTGGATGCTTGTTAAATATTGTAATTGTACAAGCCTCCACCAGCTTCTCTGGCAGCTTATTCCATAACACATACCACCCTCCGTGTGAAAGAGTTGCCCCTCAGATCTCTTTTAAATCTTTCCCCCCAGCTTAAACCTATGCCCTCTAGTTTTGGGCTCTCCTACTTTGGGAAAAATACCTTGGTTATTTCATCCTATCCATGCTCCTCATGATTTTATAACCTCTGTTAGGTTCCCTCGCTCAGCCTCCAATGCTCCAGGGAATATAGTACCCACCTATTCAGCCTCTCCCGATAGCTCAACCCTTCCAACCCCAACAACGTCCTTGTAAATCTTTTCTGTACTCTATCAAGTTTAACATCTTTCCTAAAACAGGAAGACCAAAACTTAAAGCAGTGCTCCAAAAGTGGCCTAACCATTGCCTTTACAGCCGCAAAATGACATCCCAACTCCTATATTTAATGAGATAACAAGGTGTAGAGCTGGATGAACACAGCAGGCCAAGCAGCATCAGAGGAGCAGGGCCTAGACCCTTCTTCAGAAAATGGGTCTGAAGAAGGGTCTAGGCCCGAAACGTCAGCCTTCCTGCTCCTCTG